TGAGACTCAGAGTGATCCACCTGTTTACAGCCTCCCACGAGCTGGGATTACAGGCACATGCGACCACACCCAGCCTCAGATGCAGCGTGCCCCAGCACGGGGCAGGCACAGCAGACACAGCAGGCCCGGGGATCAAACCTCCAGCCCCTGCACCTGCATGTAGGCGCTTTAATCCACTGAGCTATTTGGCCAGCCCTTGTTTTCTGTGTTTTTTTTTAAAGCTGGGGAAAAAAAGAACAGCTGTCGAGTCTGCAGCCTGAGGGGAGTGGTGCACACTTTAATCATAGCACTCAGGAGGCTAAGGCAGGAGAATCACTGCGAGTTTGAGGCCAGTCTGAACAGTATAGGGAGAACTGTCTTAGAAAAAACAACCAACCAAAGAAACACCAAAAAGCCAAAAACAAAATGAAGAAATAAAAAATAGCCAGATGTGGTAGGACACACCTGTAACAGCACTTGGGAGGCTGAAGCAGGAGCACTGCTGTGAGTTCAAGGCCAGTGTAGGCTACATAGTGAGTTCAAGACCAGCCTGAACTACATAATAAGACTATGTCCATAAATAAGTAAATAAATGGGATGCAGCTTAATGTGAAGGCCCTAGGTTCAATTCACAGTAACACACAGACAGACAGACACACAGACACACAGACACACACATACACACACACACACACCCCAAAACAGAAAGAAGAAAAAAAAAGCTTACAAGTAGTGAGCTACAGGGACAGGACAGAAGGTGACACATTACCATAGCAACCCTATCCCAAGTCCCAGGCCACAGGTTATGGGGTGAAGAGCACAAAGTGCCCATGGGCAGTGTGACCCCGGCTCAGTCACACACCTAGGCTATTCCACTTACATGTTTCTTAAAGTACAGGAAAAGGAGGAAGTCGAAGGCAGAGGGCTGCCTTTTACAGTGACCTCACCTCTTCTTTTGAGGCAGGGTCTCACTATGCAATTCAGGCTGGCCTTGAACTCATGACCATCCTCCTGCCTCAGCCTGCCCAGTGCTACAAGGACAGGTGTGTGCCACCACACTGGCTCAGAAACCCTTCTAAGAGGTGATGGATGGGGCTGGGGTTGTAGCTCAGCGGCACATCGCCTGCCTGGCAAGCATGAGGCCCAAGTTCAATTCCCAATATCAGAAAATGAAAAAGGAAAAAAGAAAAAGTGATGTCCTGTCCTCTGGAGCTTCCAGTCCAAGTCCCACAACCCACTCCCCTAAGCCCCCAGCAAAAGAAGATGAGCCTTTGATGGAAGCATAAAAGCATGCAAGATCTGCTAAATATTTCTTCTAATTTCTTTCTTTTCCCAGTGCTGGATCAAAGCTAAGGCTTCCAATATGCCAAACATGAGCTGCTGTCACCAAGCTATACTCCAGCCCCTATTTCAATTTTGTCCCTAGGATTTTTACAGAAGCTTTTAAATGTTCTATTGTCTTTTTTCACAGCTAACAAGAAATGGGAAGTAAAGGTGACCCGACTCCTGGGTGGCGGTGGTAACACCCACTGCTCCCTCTGACCACTTGTGGGGGTTTTCAGGCACAGAAGGATGAAGGACAAGGAAGATTTAGAGCCTGCCCCGACAAAGGGCAGCCTTAATTCATCCCCAGCATTCACAGGAGAAACAAAGAGCTCACGGGCTGAGGTGAAAAGTACACCGGGCAGAGGCAGCGCATCAGCGAGCGCCCGGCGTGCAGGCAGGCCTGCCAGCTGCTGCAGGAGAGCGACTCCGCCACTGTCCTCAATTACCTGAGGTGCTAATTGCTGAGCTGAGCATAAATCACCTGGAAAAGCTACAGCAGCACCCACTGAGGGAGGCCTGGGCCCAGCACGGGAAGCCACTGTCTCTGTCCCCACACCTGTGAGCCACTGGGGCACGCCCGCAATCAGCCGCCATCACACTCAAGGCCTGCACCCTCAGGCTCTGAGGGAATCCGAGGGCAGCATCAAGCACTGCCCAGCAGGCTCTGAGGACACAATTAGAGCAGGTGGCGCAGGCCAAGGGGTCCTGAGGATGGTGGGTGGCCACAGACCCCTGGTTAAACCCCTGAAGCTGAAGCCATGCTACGGCGAGGCCGAGTACTCTACCCACCTGGCAAACATCTCAAGATCTCTGGCAAAGGTTTCTGGAAGAGAAGAGAGATACGCTTCAGCCACCAGTACATCAAGCTCACTCCAGGAGGAAGGAAAGTGTAATCCTGAGCTCTGCGTTAGCACCGTGACTGACAACAGACTGTACTTTCAGTGCTGAAGACTGAAGCCAGACCTTGGCACTGAGCTACCCACGTCCCAGCCCTTTTTTATTCTGAGACAACATCCTGGGCTTGAACTTGAGATCCTCCTGCCTCAGCCTCCTAGAACGCTGGCTTACAGGCATGCAGCACGCCTCACTTGCCCTTCCAAAGGCCAGCAGAGGCTCTTCAGGTAGACCCGTCAGCTGCTGAGAGCCCTCACTTGCCCTTCGCCTCTCCACTCCTGAGGGCAAGACAAGCCTTCCGTGAACTGTGACTACGACTTCATTTCCAGAAACTAGTCTTTCACTTTAAGTTCTGGTGTGGTGCAGGCCTGGCCTTGTGAGGACAGTCACCCCTGCAAAGCCAAGCAAGTGGCAATGAAACAGGTTCACCGCACACCGTGGCTGGTATGGAAATAATGCAGTGCACTGAAATAAAACATTGAGTGCAATGTCCAGCCACTAGGGCAGTTTAATACACAATACACAATAAAATACAATGTTAATGTCCCAGTGTTGGTGTGACAGAAAAAAACCCTAGGGGCCGGGGAGATGGCTCAGTGGAATAAGTGCTTCCCTGGCAAGCACAAGGGCCTGAGTTCAATCCCAGGTTCTGCCAAAAAAAAAAAGAAGAAAAGAAAAAAGAAAAAAAACCCTAACAGTTCTTCCTGTAAATATCCAAATCTTGGTGGGCATGATGGTATATACATGTAATCTCAGCTCTGGGGAGGCTGAGACAGGAAGGTGGCTACAAATTCAAACGTAGGCTGAACTGCTCAGTAAGACACTGCCTAAAAAACCTAACCAAGGGGCCGGGGAGATGGCTCAGTGGAATAAGTGCTTCCCTGGCAAGGGCAAGGGCCTGAGTTCAATCCTGGGTTCCCCTCACCAAAATCCAAGTATTACCCAGCCATGGTAGCGCACGCTTGTAATCCCAGTGCTGAGACAGGAGGATCACTACGTGTATCAGCTAGCTTCATAGCAAGGCCCTGCACTAAATAAGGGTCTTTTTAGGATTTTTTTTTTTTTTTTTTTTTTTTTTTTTTTTGACCACACAGGATGCCTTCTGGGCAGGTCTGGTTTGACTTGAGGATGAGGGGATTGAACCACAAGATCCTGAGCAGGCACTTAAACACCCCAATAAGGTGTTTATTGTTTTTTTTTTTAATAAAAAAAAAAAAAAAAAGGAAAAGAAATACCTCACAAAGATCAAAGACTGTAACACATGCCAGTCCTACCCCACACGTAGCCAACCAAATGGAGTCTTTGGGGTCTAGAGACACAGCAAGCACCCAGCTTTTCGTACCGCACTGCCGGAAGGTCATCTCTGAAATCGCTGCAATGGTTTGCTTGCTGAACTGCATCTCTTTGTCCTCTGTCACTTCCTGGCACAGACATCCCACTGTGTAGTGCACCGCTGCCTTGAGCCTCTGTGGAGACCACAATACTTCAAGGTGAGACTGACTGAGCCCACATCCTGCAGCCTGCCTGGAGGCTGGGGAGCCCTCCGGGCACTGATCAAGTCAAAGGAGGCCCCTGAGGGTGACTGGGAAAGTCACTGCCCAGCCCTGCCTGTGCCTGACCCTAGCAGGAGGAGGACCCATGAGGCGGTCAGCAAGAAGTCACAGGTACTCAAGCAGCAGCCTGACTTCCTCCCTCATCCTGTCCTCAGCAGGACTCAATGACACATCAGACAGGGGCTCACACACCAGGGCCAGGCCTGGGGGACCACACCCACAATCCCAGCACTGTGGTGAGGCAGGAGGATGGAGAGTTCCAGGCCAGCATGAATGGCAGTGCATCCCTGTCACAAAACAGAGGAATCGGTCCTTCTGCTGCAGTTCCTTGCAGCCCTAGGCCTGGTCTGAAGCAAGGCAGAGGATAAAAGAAAGAAGCACTGGACAGACCCAAGCAAGGCTCCTCCTCTGGTGGGGCACCTGGAAGCCCATCTCTGCAGCCCTCCTAGCACCCCAGCAGCCAGTTTCCCCTTTTGTCTGTGCAAATGAGGAGCAACCACCTGCTGCACCTGGAGGCTAAATCACTGCTCTCTAAACCCCTCGAGGGCAGGGCCCTATCAGTTTAATTCACTGCTGTCCCCTACTGCCAAGAATGGCTTGTGTGAAGCCATGAAAAAACTATCACAGCACTTAAATAAAAAAAAAAAATTGGGGACAAATGAAGACAACTGAATATGGACTGTATATTCAATAATGGGATTTTATCAATATTAAACATACTGGGGAGATGGCTCAGTGGAATAAGCGCTTCCCTGGCAAGCACAAGGGCCTGAGTTCAATCCCCGGTTCCACAAAAAAAAGAAAAAAAATTAAACTTGCTGAATGTAACAATCTACTAAGAAGATGTAAGAGAATCCCCTTGTTAATGGGAAATTAAAAAGTGAAATGTCAAGCTAGCCCCAATTCTCAATTCATTCACAACGCACACCTGGACCATGCAGTGCGGCACTCTCTTTGGCCTTCTCTGCTGGGGACTGAGCCAGGGCCTCTGCAGCAAGCTCAGGTTAAGTATGCTGTGAAATCGACCAGCTGAGAGTATCAGGAGCTCTAAGCTAAAAGGAGACAGACAGGTGTGAGTGAGCAAAATGGTATCAGATGGCAGCAAAAGCATCAGCTGGGTGCTTCTGGCACTGTCCTTGCAAACTCGGTGGTCTGACTTCTCCAGATAAAAGAGGGTGGGCCAGACAGCTACTGAAATCCTAACGCTTCAAAGGGAAAGCACGCCCAGCCCTCGGGGTCTCCCTTGTAGTCAATCCTATTTCAGGCTGTCACCGGGGGTCTGGCCTTTCCTCTCTTCACTGGGCAGTGACAACAGCATGACTCTCCCACCCGTGAGCCCAATGCAGATTAAAGGAACCAGTGAGTACTCGACACATGCTGAGAGCTGGTCGTTCTGATTTTGCAAAGGAGGAAAGGCTGGCGTTTGGGCCGAAGTCATTACCATTCGAGAGAGTGGATTCCAGATTTCAACCACGTCGAAGTAAGGGGCCTAGGGCTGGCCTGCCTGTGTCTGAATACGGCTCTGCAGCGCTGCTGTCTTCTCCCCTCAACCCGGTACCTCAATAGAGGAGTTACAGGATCCGAGGGCCAGCACTTCAGAGCCACTGCCCCTTGCACGGCACTAAGTGCCCTACTGGCTTTGGCTTTTTTTTTTTTTTTTTTTTTTGCGTTACAGGGATTGAACTCAGGACCTTGCACTTGCCAGGGAAGCACTTATTCTACTGAGCTATCTCCCCGGCCCGCCGGCTTAATTTTTTTATTTTTTTATTTTTTTTGCGGAACCGGGGATTGAACACAGACCCTTGCGCTTGCCAGGGAAGCGCTTATTCCACTGAGCCATCTCCCCAGCCCCAGGCTTAATTTTTTTAAAAGTGGTGTTTGAGATACACAATAATTATATTAATTTGGGGAAACTGGTACATAGATACCGCACCTTGATCATTTTCTTTTCCGCCCTTTCCCCCGACTCCCTTCCTCAGCTCCAAAAAGTCTGCCTCTGTTTACTGTATTATGATTTCGGATTTTTGGCTTTAGCGCCCACATTCCACCCACCCTATTCCTTCTCTTGAGAGAGGGAGAACGAAGCTCCCTCCCAAAGCTATTAGATTCTTTGCCGCCGCCGCCGCCGCGTTGCCGGAGAAACCGGCTCCCAGAACCTCCCGCGGCACCTGGGCCGGCGCATGCGCAGACGGTTGGGGCGCGGAAACGAGCTGAGACCGTCGGGGGAGAGGGTGCTTCCACTCCCAGAAACGTGCCGCCGTCCTTGCCCAGGCGGTACCCCGTTTATCTTGTACCTGCTGATAAGAGAACTGCTTCTGCTCTTCGGCCTCCTGCTCCTCCTCCATCACTGCAGGCCGCCTGTGGCAGGGGCTGAGCGGCGGACGTCTCAGTCGGACTTTCCCGCGGCGGCTGCGAGCGACGGGCGGCGCTAGGAGTCAAAGCGCGAAGCTCCTCCTCCTCCCCGTCATCCCGCGCTCGCCCCCTGGCGGCTGCGCCGGGGAGGGGTCGGCATGGTCTGACGACTCCTCCAGCTAAGTGGCAGGTCTGGGGGATGGCAGAGATCACTGGTAAAAAATTGTCACAGTAAATCATATTGACAAAAAGAACCCTATATGATGACTCATGCTTGTAGTCTCCGTTTTGTGGGTTTTTTGGGATTTTTTTTTTTGCGGAACCGGGGATTGAACTCAGGCCCTTGAGCTTGCAAGGGAAGCGCTTATGCCACTGAGCCATCCTCCCGGCCCCAGTCCCAGCTATTTTATTTTATTTTATTTTTTAGTCCCAGCTATTTTAAAAGAGAAGGCATGGATAGCTCGGCGGACTATGTCCTGTCCTGCCGTGCCAGCCCTGCTCCCGGGATGCACTGAGATGGCAACTGAATCTGGGCGTGTTGGCACGCGAGCCGATAATCCCATCGCTTGGGAGGCTGAAAACAGGCGGCTCTCTAGAGTCTGATCTGTGTAGTGAGACCCTATAGACCCTGTATTAAAATAGAAAAAAAGGTACAGTACGACGAGATAGCTCAGCGGGCTACAGCTTCTGCTTAGGTAAGCACAGGAACCGCAGTATAGTCCCCCACACCACAAGACCCTCCAGTACCCCCCACCTGGGGAGGCTGAAAACAGGAGAATCCAAGCTGCATGGTGAGACCCTGTACCACATACGTTAAAAAAAAATAGATTTTATTTTTAAAATTAAAAAAGGTTGGAGATATAGCAAGTGGTAGAGTCCTTGCCTAGTATGCAAGAGGCTCAGATTCAGTCCCCAGTACTGCAGAAAGTAAATTTAAAATATTCACAAATTATGAAACTCAGTGTTCTGTGATGATTACGCTTGTAGCTTGGGCATGCCTAGCAAAACCCACCATGAAATTCTCTTCACTCACCAAACACTAGTGTCACAAAATCAGACTGCAGTTCAGTCTGCAAGTGGCACCTCACTTCTGCAGTGACACATTGTTCAGTCCCTTAAGAGAACTGCAGGCCTGTGAGATAGCTCTGTGGACAAAGCCCCTGGTTAGGCAAGCTCAGGGACTGGGGTTCAATCCCAGGCACCACATGCCATGCTGGCCCTGCCCCTGGGCGTGCTGAGCCTGACACCAAGTATGGGTGTGGTGGTGCACTCCTATAATCCCAGCACTGGGGATCACTACGAGTCTGAACAGAAGGATCACTACGAGTCTGAACTGCATAGTGAGACCCTGTACCAAATATAAAACAAAACAAAAAAGACAACTGGACATATGGTTTCACAGTCCAATGCTTTCCCAGCACTCTGGAAGCCCTGGGTTCAAGCACCAAGACTGTAAAGAAAACCAAAGCACACACCTGGGTGTGGTAGTGCTTACCCACACTGGGGGAGGTTGAGGCAAAAAGATTGCCAAATTTGAGCCCTGCCCCTGAAAATTAGCAATATAGTGAGAACATGCCACAAGATTTAAAAAAGAGGGGCTGGGAGATGGCTCAGTAGAATAAGCGCTTCCCTGGCAAGCACAAGGGCCTGAGTTCAATCCCTGGTTCCCCCAAAAAGAGAGGGAAAAAAACAAGATTTAAAAAAGATTAACGGGGGTGCCAGGGAGATGGCTCCATGGAATAAGCACTTCCCTGGCAAGCGCAAGGGCCTGAGTTCAATACCCGGTTCCACCAAAAAAACAAAAAAAGATTAACGGCCCTGTCAGCAATGCGTCAGCTGCTGGGGCGCCACTGCTCCCTCCAGTGCAAAGCCGCTGGGCTCAGGACTGGGAAGCTACACTGGGTGGCACACCTGTCCCTGCCCAGATGGGAAGTGTAGCCATCTAAGTAGGACGTGATGACATTGGAGAATGTAGTACTTAAAAAAAAAAAAAAAAAAAAGCCTGTTATGTGACTTCCTTTTTTTTTTGCGGTACTGGGGATTGAACTCAGGGCCCTACGCTTGCCAGGCAAGCACTTATTCTACTGAGCCATCTCCCCAGCCCCATGACTTCCTTTTAATAGTAATTATATTTGTCTCTGTTGGTGCCCACTAACCTGTAGGAACTGGCCCTCATCTGCCAGTGGCCTGATACGGAGGGAACCTGGGAAATAATAAATTTCTTTTAAGAAGTCAAAGTTGAGAGCACACACCACCCTGCAGCCAGCTTTTAGCAAAGACACGAGTGTCCTGGCCACCTAGCCGTGAGACCTGGGGGTGCGCCTATGGTGGGCACATGGCCGTGTACTGGGACTTGGCCTTAGGTCCACATCCCAGGAGCACCTCGGAGCAGGAGACATAGACCCCTCAGAGCAGGGAAGCAGGTCCCCAACACTTTGTTGTTTGAAA